ATCTGCCTCGCCAGAGAAGAGCGCAATGATGGTGCCAACTTGGGCCAGTGAAGCAACATCCTCCACAACTAGATTGAAGAACAAAACGACAGCAACTTCTCTGTTCCCCTTTCCCCAATTCCCCAGCACTGTTCCCATCCCCCCAATTCCCCAATAAAAATCTTAAAAAAAAATGCACTTTTGCTTTTTGAGCTCATTGCTGGCAAAAAAGTTTCTTGTAAAACAAAGAGACAAACAAAAAAAATTATCAAAGAATCAATAAGTAAGGCTAAAGATTTGCACCCCAAAGTCAATGACAAAGCCAAAGTAGCAAGGGAGTTAAAGTACTCTCTGGACACTCTATGGCAGAGAGGCTCAGTCACCACAGTCTGAAGGTACTGAAGTAACACGTAGCCTATAATTTCTGGTGTTCCCCACTGCCCCTGCTGATGGGCAAACCAAGTGGCTGGCAGGAGAAGCAGCAGCAAATACTTCTCCCACCTCCATGGGAGAGCAGAACAAATGAGCTCTCCCTACTAGCATTTCCCCAAACACTTCATTTCACCAGCGAGTGCCTGCATGCTGTCGTTGGAAGGGCAGTGTTGTTTTGCAACTGGAAAGGATCAGGAGAAGAGAGACATTCCCACTGGTTGTCATTCAAGTGTAACCATGTGCTAAGGAGAGAATTTTGTTCGCTGCAAGTAGCATTAGATATCATGGCAAAAAATTTAATTGTTCCCATAAGCCCAGCATAATTATCTGGAGGTTCACACAGTGACTTATATACTGACATGTGACCTCTTTTTGGACCAAGGAACCACCTTCAAATGGGATGCAGCAGTGAGAACAAAATCCTTCTGTCCTTTTGCAGAAGCTGTGAACCTGATGCAGTGGTGGACTAGCTTCTTAAAGATAAACCTAATGCATCAGCTTAGAGGTGATAGCCTGAAAACATATGGCATATATTGTGTTAACAGTATATGGTGTCATATTCTCCAGTCAGTGGAACACAGTGGTCCAGGAACCTTGGCATGGAAGGAGTGGTCTTACTTACCTGCATTCCAGTGATCCAGTTGGGGATTTATGCTTCCTCTCCTCATGCATCTTGGCTCCATAAGTGTAGAGGTTCTTGTCCCAAAGGGGTAGACTTTTACAGATTGTACAGGAAATATTCCACTCAACTTAAAGCATCTCATCACCTTGGTCTCCTGATGTCTGTACATAGTAGGCAAATAAAGGAATTTTCATACTGACATGGATAATGGGCTCTGGCCATCCTAAGGAGGTAGGACCTCTAACTGGTACTTAGAGGAAAAAGGGTCAGAAACATTAGGTGGTCCACTGGCATCCTTATGCCCAGTTTTATTCTAATTGGGCAAATAGAGCAACCAGGATTAAAAACCCAGAGCAAGGGCAGGGAGGAAATGAATAATTGTGAAGTAATAATACCATCTATCACAGCAAGTTAAACCAAAAGCTCATTTTGATTTTCTCTGGATTGAAGCAAGTTTCCTCCAGGTTCTACTTTGGGCTTTTAATTACTTTCCATTATCATTAATAGTTGCCTTACCAGAAGAATTAATTTTCCATTTATCCTCTTATAATACAGGACAATGCCAGATAACACTGCCCAGGCTCCACAGAACATTATAGAAGGAGATTAGAGTGCTGCACAGATTATTATTTTTTACAGAATTACTTTCGAGACAAATTGAATTTCATTGCCTGAAATGAATTTTTATGTTTTGTGGAGAGAGGACAAATGGGTGTCAGCCATTACAAAGGACATGACTATGACATAATTGAAAGAAATCAAACTGATTTTTATACATGAGATTTCATGCTATCTTTAAACAAGCTTTAGGAGGTTCGTGTCAAGGTCCAAACATATGATTCATCACTGCAGAGTACAAGTGACAAAATTAAGATTGCTGTGTTTCAATCGAGAAATAGAGAGGCTTAACTAATGCTCATGATCACAGATATTTTTCAAACTCAAATGCCAAGACTGCCTGGAAGACAAGAAAATTGAGATGTCGTCAACAGTGATTACACACTGGAGTCCATATGTGTCCAACAATATTGCTTATTACCAATATTAAACTAGATTTTGAGAAAAAAATTATAATAAGATTCATGAAGACATACATCATAGAGAATAGGAAGTGTCTTTTCATGATGGAGGCTGAACAGGCCCTGTTATGCTGGGCTAGTCCTCTCTGGGATGTACCAATCTACAGCCTGAGGGCCACCAAGAATTGTTGAATGTTTCTCATTAGGACAAATCACACTCTTTCGGTCCTATCAGTGTTGGACTGGAGGAGGATTGGCTGTGGGTGGTGAAGGAAAAAGAAGAATCAAGACTATCTCCCAGGTTTTTCGCTCTAGCTACCGCGTGGATATGATGTCATTCCCATTGGGCTAGAAAAAGATAAAATGGGCTAGGAAATAAATCATAAATCCCTTTAAAGATCATCACAAATATACCATGCTTCTTACTCTATTGAGAGTTAGAAGTGTTGCATTTTCATCAGGTTTTGACAATGGACTGTTTGAAAGGGTACTTGTCTTTCTCTTCTGAAATTCTCTGGATGGGACTGTCCATCTGAAACACTCCAGACAATGATTCTGCAGCTTGTTCTCTCCTTTCTCTGTGTGCACCAGTGTCTCTCAGACTATTTTTATGCATTTACACAATGTTTTTTTCCTTTGAAGAAACTTGTAGTGATATTGTTGTCTCACTCAATATCAACTAACTCCGCAAGCTGAAGTGGGAGCATAAATTTGCAAGATGGTGTTTCAAAGGCTAAACTTACTGATGAAAAACAGAAAACAAAACAAGTTTTCTTTTCATACAAGAGAAATTATATGAATAGAGTTGACATATCCAGTACCAGAAGTGGCTTTATTTATGGCCAAGAAAAGATAATGTAATTCGAAGATAATTACAACATTTAACGTTTTATTTCCAATATTAATCCTATTGCCTGCCCTTCACTTACCTCAGTTTTGTTCCTTTTGATTTTGAAAGTTGCTCTTTCATAGGGAATATAGTTAATAATATTGTAATATCTATGTGTGGTGTCATAAGGTATATAAACATCTAGTCACTATGGTGCACACCTGAAGCTAACACAATATTATGGACTAACTGTAATTGGAAAGTAAATTTATTTTTTTTAAAGATGCTCTTCAATAAATGGGATTTTCACTTCCTTGATAATCTCTTCAAAGACTATATGGTCCAGGAAACTAAGTATACTTGTCCATAAGGATAAAAGTAGGCCAGAAGATGTGATCTAACCTTTTCTTGCTAGTATCTAAAACAGTGCCAGCGATGGGCCACTCAGATTGAAAGCAAGACCAAGCAAACACATACTGTGATCTGACCATGAAGATTTTATTGAAACTGGTCTTAAGAGATTTTACTCTTCTCAGGAATTGGCAGCCCTTTCACATTATTCTCAGGACTGGCAGCCCTTCAGACATAAGAAAAGGAGAGAAGAAAGCAAATGTTACAGTATTCCAACAAGTCTAATTAAAAAGCAAGTCTAATTTTAACAAAGCAAGGCTAATAGAGTGCTAATCTGGTTCACAAGTCCTTTTGTGTATGTTAATTCATTTAAACTTGACAACAACCCTTTGAGGAAGGTATTAGAGAGACAGAAAATTTCAAAGACTAGAAAAGTCACACACATAGTAGTGGAGTAGGCAAGATTCAGACCCAGATCTCTCAATATCTAAAAACGGTGCTCTTGTCACTGTCTCAAGAGGAGAAATGAATAAGCTACAGTAGAAGTTCCTAAAAAAATTTAAAATAGGGTTACCATTGATCAATAATTCCACTTCCAGGTCTATACTCACAAGAATTGAAAGTAGGTCTCAGAGAGGTATTTGTACACCCAAATTTACATCAGCATTATTCATAAAACCTAAAGTGTTAAAGCAATCCAAGTTTCCATCAACAGGTGAATGGGTAAGCAAAATATATATTCACATATATGTGAATATTATTCAGCCTTATAAAGGGAGGAAATTCTGATATATGCTACAACATAGATGAACCTTGAGGACATTATGCTAAGTGAGATAGCCAGTCACAAAAGAAAAGAAAAAAAGAAAAATGCCATATGATTCCACTTTTATGAGATACTCAGTTTAATAAAAATCGTAGAGACAGAAAGTAGGAGAGCGGTTACCAAGGGTTGGGGAGCAGAGGAATGGGGAATTACTATTTGATGGATGCTGAGTTTCTGTTTTGCAAGGTGGAATGCGCTCTGGAGGTGGATGTTGTTGACGGCTGCACAACGTTGAAAATGTACTTGACATTGCTGAACTGCACACTTAAAAATAGTATCTTAAACCAGACTAAAGTTTGTAGACATGAGAGCTGTCATGAATAGGTAAAATAACTTTCCCAGTTGAAACATCGAAAACGATTCTTACTCAGTTGCCCTAAAATACTTATTGAGGGCCTAGAATAGAACTGGGGATGCAAAGATGAGACACTTTCAAGAAAGGAGCTCACAGCCCAGTGGGAAAACCCAGAAATCACAGTGGGGTGAGGATAATAATAGAAGTTCGCACAAAGTACACGTAGAACAGGACAGGAGGGATGATTCTGATATGGAGATGAGGAAAGGAGGTCAAGAAAGTCCTCCTGGAAGTGGAGGGTGCAAGAGCTGAAATGAACTTGGGATTTCACCTCCAGGCCCAGAGAAGAGTCAATGCTAAAACTGAAACATCAAAGGTCAGTTATAGCTACGTGCAACATAGAGAAAAGTCTAGCAGGCACAAACCCAGGTAATCCCACCTTGAGCGCTGACGGCATTGTAGGGTAAGCCACTTAATCTTTCTAAAATTTACCCTCCTCATCAGTAAAAGGAGCATAATAATCCCTACCTTACAAAGAATCTGTGATCATTAAATGTGCTTAAGGATATTTATAGCTTGACACAGAGGCTGGCACATGGGAAATGCCCATTGGTTTATAGCTATTATAATCTGTATATTTCCCACAATATATACACCAGACCAACCTCCTGGCTGAGCCTCACATGTCCATTGAACAATAGGACCACAGCTGACCCAAGAAGGCTGAAGTGGCCTGTCAAAGCTGACCTCCTGACTTTCCAGGTGAAAAGTTAGTGAAAGCTGTGGAGGGCCAGCAAGGTGTGACACTGGGGACTTTCACTCCCCAGCAGACTCCGTCAGAGCCATAAATCAACTCTCTCTACTCCAGCCTGGAAAACTTTACGTTTAGGAGCCTTAAGGCTATTTTTCTCTCTCCAGACCAGTTTTCCTCTGACATGACAATAAATTACTCATTCCAATTGGGGCAGGGCCAGCTCAGATGACTTTCACACAGCAGGTGGCACTGGCCTGGAGGGGAATGTGCATCCATGGGAGAAATTCTTAGACATGACAAGGACGTGAGCTAAAAAATAAAAATAAGAAAATAAAATAAACAAGATCGCCAGAGTCTAGATTTCTCCTTGGAGTTGGAAATTCCTCCCCATACCAGCAAGCTTAGCATAGTCTTGGTCCGAACCTTGCAATCTTCCTGACCCCTCCCCCTACGTCTCCCTTCCACACCAACCTTTTGGAACTACTTGCAGTGCTTCATTTATTTATTTCTACTGCACATCTCCAAATGTTCATACACAAGAATCCCTTGGCATAAAATACTTCCCCACCTCCTAATTAGCTTCCATGTACCCTTCCAAAAGTTATGCATCTCAAGAGTAATCTCTCCTCCCAGAAGTTTCTTTGGCCACTCCCTTCCTACTCAGATTCGGATGCCCGACCTCTGAGCTTCATTTTCTCTCAACAAATAATTGGCGATGGCCTGTCAACTGACGAGCCCTACCTTCTCATGGTGTTCTGTGCATGTGAGCTATCAAATAATATCACTCTGGTGGACAATCATTGATTTATCTGCCTTTCCCACTTGTAGGAATGTTCCTTAATGGCAGGGACTGAGTTCCATTTATCTCCAACTCCTCAGTGACTAATATAATGCATTCAGTGTATTTTTAATGGATAAATGAAGAGTGGAGAGATGGAAGGAAGGGAGGGAGAGAATGAGAAAGGGAGGGAGGAACAAAGGAAGGAAAGAAAAAAGAATGAACCCTTCCAATCTGCACTGCCTCCCACCACCTACCACTACGGTGGGCATCTCTAGTTCCCAGACAGCTTCTTCTTATTGAAGTCATCGACACTTTGCTCATTGGTGCTGCTCCACTGGAAACTTTCTCAAG